CTCACCGCCACACCTCGTTCTTGTTCCGAGTGGGTCTCGAACCCGGGTCTCCGGCATGGGAGGCGGACACATTAACAAGGAGGCTAAAGACTGCAGCCCCTAGCAGACGCACTAACAAGTTAACACTTGCTGAACAAAAGTATTCACACACACACACACACACATATATATATATTTAGGGTGAGTAAATGATGACAGAATGTGATTTATCTGTTGATTGGTCTCAGATTAAATTGCCGCGTCTAAAGATCTCTGATTGACCTTCTTCTGTGTTTGATGTCCACTCACAGTCATCAGCAGTGGTACAAACTCGTGCGTTTAGCATCACCGGGAGCCAACGTTTACGCCACCTCTGTTACTCTGTCCTTGTCTGTGACACATCGGCCGGCGGGCGCGCTGGACCAGGGGCTGTTGTGGTCAAATGCACCGGTTTACCCAGGTGTTCAGCAGTGGTCACTCTGCGTCCTCTGCCCTGCCTCGCGCCTCTCCTCTCCTGTTGAGAGCGGGGCAGCGATGATGAATCTGTGGCCGCAGAGTGTCTGTATGACCTGACACAGTGATGTATCTGCCAGGGCTTCTCTCGCTCGCTCTCTTTTATGTATTTGCGGCTTCTTTCACTTTATTTTGCCTTCTTCCTCTCTCTATTTGTCATGTGTCCCCTCGCAATCTCTCCGCTTTTCTCTGCAGATTCGTTGTATCTGCGGTGAGGTGCTGCTGATTAGAGTGGGCGGCCCTGTTCCTGCATCCTGTCTCTTTTTTTGGGCATTGATTTTCACCCTGGGCACTTTAAAAATATCCCATCTGACCTTTGGGCATCGCTGAGGACTGTGGAAATAGGTTCCCAAACACACGTGCTCGATGACATTACGGGGAATCAGATGTTTGTGAAGGGCTGAAAAAGACGAATGATAGAAAACCTGCCCCGATCAGACAACATCTGTCCATCAGATGCACGCGCTTGTCGAGGCAGACGCTCGTTTAACGGAGTCTCCCAAAGGAAAGACAAATCACAAGTCAGATCTCGTCGATATCACAATTGCGATTTCAAAAGAGAGCAAATTGAAAAAGACTCAGGAGAAACTTCTCACAGATTGGCAGAAAAGACCTAAAAAATGTCTCAAACTGCACTCAACTGCAATCAAATCTCAGAGATCTCAATATGAACTTTTATATCATAAATAATGATATAAAATGAATGTGCTTAGAAGAGCAGATTGTTTGGTTTGGGGAGAATTTGATGAGGAATATTTGAGACCAAGCTGAGATCTCAGACTTTTGATTGCAGATTTTGGTATCTTGGCTGGTTTGAGCATAGTTTGAGACATCTTTCTTTGGTCTTTCAGCGTCTTCTGTGTATTTGAACCCTTTCCAACAATGACTGTATGATTTTGAGATCCATCTTTTTAACTGACTCTTATGCAACTATTACAAAAGGTGAAAATGTTTACTGATGCTCAAGAAGGAAACACAATGCATTAAAAGCAGGGGGTGTAAACTTTTGAATAGGATGATGATGTGTAAATTTATTTTGTTTAAAGATCTTTTTTTATTATTTAATACTGCCCTTCAAAAGCTACTACTTACATGTTTCCCAGAAGACAAAATAAGTACAATTTACCCAATTTATCCAATGCAGAAAGTTTACACACCCCGGCTCTTAATGCATCAAGTTGCCTTCTTGAGCATCAGTCATTTTATTTTTATTTTTTTACATACCTGATTAGTGTTCCAAAATATTCAAAAGTATTTCGATTAAGTTGCAAAACTTATGTATTTTGTAATCTGTAGTGAAATAAATTTTGAAAGTAACCTTCCCAACCCTGATTGCAATCTAGGAGAAACAACCGAGACATTAAAGACATTAAATCTGACAAATCAAAAGGTGTACAAGTCCCAAATATATGACAAGATATACGATATGTTAGTCAAAAATGATAATTATGTCAACATTTACTCACCCACATCATTCCAAACCTGTAAATATCTTTTCTATGGAACACAAAATGAAATTGTGAATACATGAGGCCGAGTAAATGAGAGAATTTTTTTAAACTACATTTCCCCTTAAACTAAATTGTTGTGCAAATCTTATCAGGAGTTGTGAAATCAAGTTGTTGGTATAAACGTGACTACTAGTGACATTGACAAGAGATGCAGAAAGACTCTCTTGTGTGTGTGTGTGTGTGTGTGTGTGTGTGTGTGTCCATGGTGTGGTTATGAGTAATAAACCTCTCTCTTGTCGTTCTACCCGTCACAGAGAGTGAAAGCAGTGCAGATCAACCTCATTATCCTGATGAAAATTTGGGCAGATGTGCGAAACCTCTACAACAGACGCAAACAGCAGCTCTGTCGCCTGCAGCCAATCAGGAGATGAAAACCGGAGGAAGAACCGCACTGAGAAACGACCACGGCCATTACGCCCAGAGAGAGAGAGAGAGAGAGAGACGGAAAAACGCCATTTCTGGTGCAACAGCAAATAAAAGTGAGATTTCAGCCTATTTAAAATTCTGACTGGAAACAAGTTGGGAGTTTTTGATGACACAGACGGAGCGAGGGTGTGTGTGTGTGTGTGTGTGTGAGCTGTAGTAGTCGTTCTGTGGGTGGAAAGTTAATCTGTTGAGATGATGAGCTGCCTGCCACTTAACAGGGTGGAGATCCACTTTGATCACACGGCCTCGGGCGCAGCCTATTACAAATCACCTCATTTACATACAGCACAGGCTGATGGGAAGACTACAATCCACTCTAAAGGGTTACACCTCTCTAATGTGGAGCAGAAGAGAGAGAGAGTGAGAGGAAACAAGGGTGATACCTAAAAAAAAGATGGACAGATGACAGTCAGGAGATCCAGTGAAGAAGATACACGGATGACAATTAGTTACCAAACCTTAGAACTAAGTATCAAAGTTCAGCGTTTATGCTTACTGTTATTCCTCAAATCATGTGTGCTATTGAGAAAAGGTGCGTTGTTTCTTTACTAAGTAATTAAATGCATCATTTTCACCAGCTGCACCATGAAACAGGTGAAAAAATACCACAAATGCACATCTACAGAGCAGACGATCACTGATCACTTTTCACACTAGACAGAAAAGAACCACCTAGCAACCACCAGAAAACCCTAGCAACCCCCCAAAACACTGTAGCAACAGCAACATGCTGAAAAACACTCAGAACATCTTAGCAACTGCATAGCAACCCCTTGGCAACCACTTCAGCATAGAGAAAAGAGGTTTGCATGAACAAAAACACCTGCATTTTCTTTAGAGAACATTAAAATTGGTATAAATAATCAGTTATGATTGTTAGTACAAAAATACATTTTGAGTTGAACATAAATAGTACAAATTCTTTAAAAAGATAGTTAATGGGGTCTGGGGATTGTTCACAATAAGTACAAAAGCAATCTCGACTAATGCATGAGAGTAAACCGCTATAAGATGGCGTGTATAATTCATTTATCATCGCAGCTCTTCAAGCAGGGCTGTGCACCATTCAGAATTGAATTGAGAATCAATTTAAATTCTAATTCCTGTTTCAGACAGGATGCAGAATTGCTATTTGAATTTAAGGAGGTAAAATTTCCAGTAGCTTAACATGTAGAGTATGGCACTAACAAGGCCAAGGTCATGGGTTTGATTCCCAGGAAAAGCAAGAACTGATCAAATGTAAATGTATATACCTTGAATGTAATGTAAGGATAAAAGAGTCAAATGCATAAATATAAATCTAAAATGAACTGAAGTTCTTATAACTGCATGTGAATTATTTCCTAGAAAAAAAAGGTTTGCAAAGACAAACTTTGAATAAAAAAGTTTGATCTGTTTGAAATGTCACCTATAGAAACCTCTTTAATTCATATACATATAATTCTTTATGTTTAACATTTAATTCATCTTCCTGTAGTGCTAGCTAATAACACATTTGGTTATGGGTTTGATTCCCAGGGAAAGCTTTCACTGATGATATGTGTAACTTGAAAGCAATGTAAGTTTCCTTGGATAAAAGCATCTGCCAAATGCATAAATGTAAACGTAAATATAAGTGTCCAATTCAGCTTCCTGTGAGTTGTGGCCAATTCCATTCCAATTCCAACTCATGAATTGCAAAAAAGTCAATTCTTCTGTTCAGAATTTTGCACAACTCTGATGTCCACACAGGACTTGCTTGTTCTTTACACATTTTAGTTTTAGTTTTAAAAGCAAAGTCATTTTCTCAAATTGACAGTAGAAACACAGCTGCAGGTGGAAGGGTGGGATAAAACTCAGCTTTGGGTCGAACAATCAAAACAAGTGAGCAAATTTACAAATGCATTTCTGTGTTCGTAGGAGGTTTTCAAAACAGGGCTCGTTTGGACTCACATCCACAGTACCATGCACCATCAGTGATGGCCGGAGTGCAAACATCGCAGTGCACGCCACAAACACATGCGTCTAAAGCTGAAGTTGTTTCTACAAATACCACAAACACATGCATCAGCCTCGCATCAAAGTCAACTGTTTTCCCTAAAACTAGTGCGTCATTAGATCTACCAGGAATTGAGAACAGCACTACTTTTAATTGGCAGCGTAAAAAACAAAAATCAATGCAGGAGAAGACACAAGCAAGCAATTTGTGCCTCATACCGCAGTAACGGTTACTAATTGTCTCCCGTCTTGCGAGCACAGGACCAGATCGAGCGCCACGCCATCCGCCTTTATGATGCTAATGGCCTCGGCAAATTATCCGTCAAACGGGAAAAACTCTGACTTCATCTCCAATCAGATTCCCCATTCTGCCCCGCACAGCACATTCTCCTAAATACCAGCTCAGAGCTGGAGAGAAAGAGGAAAACGCTCATTTTTTCACAGGACATCAATCAATGAAAATAATTCCTCAAACTTTCTTCTTTCTTCTTTTTCCCCAGAGTCAGACTTTAAATGGCATTACATATGTAGCACGACATAAAAAATTCATCTGCGGGAGCCTTGAAATGTCAGTGGTAATGATGGAAGCCTCACCTCCTTTGCTTTCTGCTTCAGACGGGCTTGTTCTGGATCTTCTTGCCGCGAGCGACTCTGGGAGAGAAAGAGAGAGAGATGGAGGGAGGATGAACGACAGAAGGAAGGATGGAGGGAGAGACGGGCAGACGGCAGGTGAGCGCGTGTCGTAAGCTCACCTCATCTGCCGCACTAAAATAGTTCAGGACAAACAAGGGCAGATCTTATGTGTCAAGGACGGAGTGTGTGTGTGTGTGTGTGTGTGTGTGTGTGTGTGTGTTCAGCGGTGAGTGATTCTACGCCCGCAGGCTGTGCCCTCCAAACACACACACACACACATATCGCCATAAGCAACTACTAATCAAAAGACACAACACACACACACACACTGTTACAAATGCAGGTGCAGCCTGACACTCATCAGTGTGTGTGTGTGTGTGTGTGCGCGCGCGCGCGTGTGTGTGTGTGTGTGTGTGTATACAAATGTAGAAAATGAAACAATTATTCCAATTTGTGTGTGCATGTTTGTGCCAATGTCGAAACTGTAAGCCCAAACATGCATCTAGTGGCCCTTTCGTCACATAAAGTGCTGCAGGAATGAGTCCTAAAACCCAGAAATGAGCACGTTTGCACTTCCGGTTCCATCGTGCTGAAGTCAGGGGGTTTTGGTCAAATGCCTGAAATAAGGTCTGTGTTTAACACAAGCTCAAGGTATTTTCACCTTCTATTCTACGACATTTAAAATAAGCATTGTTATTTTGTGTTGAGTTTATTTATTAATACAAACTCATGCATTACATGGATAGAAAACAGTTCATTTCAAAATGTTATGTTTAAATATGCAAAGGAGGCACTGTATTTAAATATGCATTAATTTGCATAAATGTCCAGCACGGATATCTGAACACTGGATAAAGCAAGGTTCAGAATTCTTGTTTTATTCTGATGACAAGGTTTTAGAGGAGATTTTTTCTCTTTTTAATCAGTCCATCAATCAGAAAGCGCTGTCAACAGCAAGAACAAAAAATAAATACATTTTCACCATGTCTTTAAGAATGAAATGTATTAAATCAGGCAGATGTTATGTAAACAAACCCCTCAGTAAAACCCTTCAGAATGTAGATAGGAATAGAACTGTGAAGTCTGGTGTATTTAAGTACTGCTGAAGTGGAGGAAAAATTCATTTGAGAAATGTTCTTTAAAGATAGGTACTGTAATTGAAATCTACAGATTCAAACAGATAAAGTACAATAAAACAAACACTTAAAAGTGTATTTTAAAAGATTTCATTCTTATATGAAAAGCAAACTAGCCCAAAATGGGCTAAATGGAAAAAATGTGAAAAAAAAAAAACAATGTTTTTGCCTGTAGCATCTTGTCTTAAAGATTGAAAGAGTTGTCCGAAGTTTAGTGGACATTGAAGTTTACAGCCATAGTATGGTTCGCTTATAGCATAACTTCAGCTTTTTACTTCTGCTGATCGCATTTAGGCTTCATAAAAGTTGTCTTCATTTGTGGAAATTATCTTGATGATCGAAATGTGTAAGAATCATAAACTTTTGTTGGTGACAGAGCTTATTTTCTGCAATAATCCAAAATCTGGTTGAGGGAACCAGGGTGATGCTAACATACAAAAATACATCATCCCTGCAGCTCTCTAGTCCTGCTTGTGTCTTTGGATTTGTGCATTTGTGTGTGTGTGTGGTCAGAGAGGGTAAATCTCTCTGCTGAAGCATTTAATCATGGCCTTGTGTGATTTTACTCTCATTTTGTCTCCTTTAAAGCGAGAGAGATGTGTGAGGTGTGTGCGTGTGATCCTGAGGGCTTTGTGTTTAGGTCTCCGGTCTTTTTTTAATTGCCCCATGAGAATGGCTCCTAACTCTCCCTCTCTCGGTGAGGAGAGGGGCGGCAGTACTCTGCCCTTCCTCGCTGCTAATTGGTTTTAAATATATCAGGCGGTTCACGTACTGGTCGCTATCTCGGCTGAGAGTAATGCGTTTGGCCCCTGGCCCTCGCGCTCGTCCCCAAAGACTCCAGTCATATTTGAAACGGACGATGAGATTTATTTTAGAAGGTTCATGTTTAAGGGGTCAAATCGCGCTGAGCTTAAAGACGAGAGCGAGAATACAAGGACACAAACGATTGGGTTTCTGCTCCCTCACAATGACCTCAACCCAAAATAAAGCAAGATTTGTTTGTTCTGTCTGTCAATATTCATTCATTCATTGTTTCCAGACTACACTGGCAATGATCTGTTGAGTTCAAAGAGCTACAGACGATACATTTACAATGCATTTGAGCTGGAAACACATATGCATGTTTCCTTGATCGCATTTTAGGCTTCAGCGGAGTTGAAATCCCTAACAACTGCGATACATCAGCTTGCGTAACGTCTCATCCAGGCCCAAAGTCACAGAGGTCGGCGTGGCCATTCGTGCTCGCATATGAGCTAAACTGTCTGGTTTTTGGAGATATAATCTCCCGCGTGGCCGAGCTATGGCATAATAATGGCATTAGGCCGAAGGGAGGCGAGACTCGGTCATCGTCTCTGAGCTATATTAATTAATGACGGAAATGAGCCGAAATATTTCACTGTGGTGCCCCTGTTTCCTGGGGCTTCCTGGTCATTTCACAGGATCAGACGCACCGCACTGGACATAAAGGTAAACTTTGTTCCAGCATCCTCAGATAAGTTGTGGGCTGATCTGTGATCAGTCACAGCACGCTGAGCTCCATCAGTGGGTGCGGACCAGAGATAACGGGCCAAATTCATGAAAGATGAGTAAGAGCATTTCTGTGTACATAAAAACATTCTTGGGTAAACTGCCATTGCCAATTAATTTTGTTATTGTAATTTGATATCTGTAAAATGTGTTGCAGAATGATTTAGACAGAAATTAGAGATCTGTTATTTGATTTCTTTTAAACAACAAATTATGCAAGAATGCTTTTGATTTGTGAGTGATGTACTCAGACGTTCATTCTGTTTGTCTTTCCAAAGCTCATCTAATGTCATTGGCTCAGTATCATTGAGATACTACTGAGAATTATATTATATTTTACATAGTTTTTGTTTTTGCATTTTCCATTTTCATTATAATTTTAATGCTTTTGTAATCTTGTCATTTTTATTAGATTTTATTAAGTTTTTATTATTTTTATATATATATATACTAAATAAAAAAAACGAATTATATTAATTATTCACAATATTGTTTAAAAACATTGCTCCCATCTCACAATTTTAACTTATTCATATACCATTCATTTAACCTATTCATATATTAATTTAACCTATTCATGCACTCCAAGGTATTTCAAAGAATATAATGTAGCATGGCTGTTTTATAAATGTTTTATTTATATATATATATATATATACACACAATGTCTGTGTATATATACATTACACACAAACACACTTAAAACAGCTTTTATAAATAAATGCATAATAATAATTATTATTATTATTGTTATTATTATTATACTTTTTTTTTTTTTTTTACAAATTTTTAGTACAATTAAATGAAAAGAAAAATATTGCTTTGGCACCTAGCTGAAATATATATACTTTTTCCATTTTATTTTACTTCATTTAAAAGTTTATTTTATTTCATGTAACAAAATGTGGATGTGTTGATGGAAGCGATCTACTCCATCTATGTTTTGATCATCGTTCTGAATCTGATCCAGATGTAGTCTTTTACAAAAACGCGATTTTCTCAGCTTTTTGTTCAAAATATTGCTTTTTTTCATGAAACTTACCTACATTCAAGTGTTGATAAAAAAGTTTGCATGAAGCTAGAATAAAACAGTTTTTTGTTGTTGTTGTTGTTTAAAACCAGAGACTCTGTTCTTTGTTTTGCTATATTGCATGTTTAGATATTCATACAACAAAATATTCTGGGTGCCATTACACTTTTGTGAGTATGACCAAAAATACTGGTGGTGGCTGGCAATTTTTTTATTTTTTTTTAAACGCTGGCAGGAAAAGAGTTAATAAGCGTGGGTGATCTAACCCATGTATTTGAAGAAGTGTGAAGAACTTCTGTTCTTCTGCAGCTGAGATCCCGTCATTAACATTTATGTGCCATAAACGAGAGGATCTGAGAGATCACGAGGTGCCAGATTACCTTCGCTGCTCTGAGGAGAATCTCTCGTTCTCGCTCATCTTTCCTCTGCTTTTCCATCCGTTCCAACTGCTCGAAAAACTTGAGCTGCGAGCGCACATCAGACGACGGCTCGTGCCACTCGTCTTCCTGCAGAGAGACACAGAGAAAGAGGTCAGGAGAGGTTTTGATGCACATTTTAACTTATTTATGAGTGTTTATGACACAATCATGATGAAAACTTTCTTCTTAGGCAGGTGAGACAGAAGTTTATGGGTCGAACGCAAAAAACATGTTTACTTCAGAAAGCAACCTCGATGTTTTGCGCACTTCCTGCACTATCCCTGCCTCTTTTCATTTTCTGATTAGCTCGTCTCTCCTCTCATCCCTGCCTCCGTCTCTCCTGTTCTTTGATGGCTATGAAGTCAGCTGTGCCTGTTTCAGGACGCTCTTGTTTTTTGCTGATGTCAGTTTCTTCACACAGGCGCGTCTCGTATGGCTCATTTATAAAGCAGCGCGCGGAAAGCGCCAGACGCAACAAAAAAGCCACAACACACACCAAACAGAAAAACAAAAAAACAAAACGTGCGTCCGTGACGGCGTTCCTCTTCGCTAAGCTATTCGCCATGTACACAAATAAACAGCTTTTAAAGCACTCCGCCACCTGCTTTTCCTCCTTTGTGGGTTTGTTTTGGGTTCCCGTTAATGCGACTCTCTTGAAAGAGTGCTGCGTTTAATGTGATGCGCTCGGCTGTGCGGGTAAAGCGCGTGTTGGACTCTCTGGCTGTGGGTTTGAATACTGAATTGTTTACCTGTCTGCTTTGGTCTCTTTGTAATTCATGTACCCAAAAGTTTCCACTTCAACAGCAGCATTTCAGCAACACTTCAACAATACGATTGCGTGTGTTAACATGAACTAACAGTGAAAAATATACATATATCTAATACATTTAAACATTAAAACTGCACACATAGACATGCATAATGAACTAACAATAGAATGCATACAAACAGAAAGTTTATTAACACAAACTTCAGCAAACCAGTCAAGTTATTCTGTAAAACAGCCAGTCAGAATGGCAAGTGATTGCTAGGGTGTTCAAGATGGTTTCTAGGGTTGTTTAGGTGGTTACTATGGTGTTGCTAGGGTATTCTGGATGGCTGCTGGGTCATTGCTAGGGTGCTGCCAAGAGTCCTGGTTGCTAGGGCATTGCTAGTGGGTCGCTAGGGTGTTTAAGATGGTTTCTATGGCAGTTTGGGTGGTTGCTATGGTGTGGTTTCTTTGGTGTTGCAAGGCTATTGCAAGTAATGTGGATGGTTGCTATGGTGTTCCTAGGTGGTTGCTAGGGTGCTGCCAAAGAGTTCTGTACAGTTGCTAAGACACAGCTAGGTGGTTGCTAGGGTGTCCAAGATGGTTTTTAGGGCATTTTTAGCTGGTTGCTAGGATGTTCAAGTTGGTTTTTAGGGCATTTTTAAGTGGTTGCTAGGATGTTAAAGTTGGTTTCTAGGGCATTCTGGGTGGTTTCTTAGGTGTTACTAGGGTATACAAGATGGTTGCTATGGCTTTGCTAGGGCATCACTAGGCAGCTGCTAAGGTGTTCTAGCAAATGATTTTCATGTTAATGATGTTTGATGAGCAGCCGAATTACCCAATGTGTGTTTGTGACTGTCAGATGATGTTAGTGTCCTTTGTAGGAAAACTATTTACAGCAACACAGGATACATATATAAACAGTGTTGGGGTAACACATTACAAGTAACGTGAGTTACGTAATCAGATTACTTTTTTTTTTTAGGGAGTAACGCAATATTGTAATGCATTGCTTTAACTTTCCCCAACACTGTATATAAATAATAAAAGCATCTCTTCCACAAGTCTCGTACCTTACACGAGTCCATTCTGTGCTGGGCGATGGAGGAAACTTTCTCCAGCACCGTCCGTAATCTGGACTGGGTGGCGTGAGAGATGAAGTTCACAGCCTCCAGCGGTACGTCCGTCACTCCAAACCTTTTAGCTGAAACAAGTAAGAAGCAGATGCAGATGTTACGAAAAAATATCAATAATCAAACAAAACACATCACCGCGCAGATGTTTGGAAGGAAGTTCAGTGAGAGAAAATTACATCTGTCCTGTCTTATAAATCTTCCACAAAAAGGTCCAATGTGTGTTGAAACAACAAAGAGTTGTTATGATGAACCGACACGACCTGCATTTAAAACACAAATATGTTGATAGGATGTTTTGTCACACCAGCGGCTCATTTTCAAACCTGATTTCCTGAAATTTCAGCAAAATGAGTTTGGATGAGCCTCTGTGGTTTGGAAGGTCAGCAAAGCTGATCCAACCACCCAGAAGAGCTCGAGAGACTTAAACAAGCAACTCTGTCTCAGTTGTTTCTTTGACTTCATATTGAGATCTCTGACTTTTGACTGCAGATATAGGAATCTTGGCATATCTAAGCACAGTCTGAGACATTTTGGAGAAAAATATTAGATTATTAGGAGAAATATCTGAGAAACAAGAGCAACTTTCTCCATTTCATTGGACTGATACTGAGGAGAAAAATTAGAGACTGACATTTTAATCTGTGATTACTCTTTCCTGTGAACAAGAAAAAAAGAAAATCAGCTCTTTCACATGAGTTGACAACTTTTACTTTAAAGGATAATTAGCACCAGTTTCTAAAGACCGCTGCAAACCTTCTGAGCCAGATATGTCCACAAGTCCGAGTCAAGTCTCGAGTCTTTAAGCTGGAATCAGACGTCTGGAGTCTTTCATCGTGAGTCCGGGTCGAGTCTGGAGTCATTTCATTAATTGTTGCAAATAAATTCTCATCCTTAAAAATCCTATTTACAAGCTTGTATTTTAAAGACAAAATATGTTCCAGGGATACTACAAGGAATCTAGCTCAAATTGTCTTCCTCTACCTGTACATAGAGTTAATCCAAGATACAAAAATACATGTAAAATTATTAATTTGAGGAGGCCCGTTCATATTCAAAATCATCTGTAACACCATGATGTAGCCACTAGATGCTAATTAATCTAATTCTAGTAATAATTAATCACACATCAATTTTAGATGAGAATATGGCCCCCAAAAGATCATTTAAAAACATTGTGTTAGATGAGTACAGCATTGGATAGACATTACAAAAAAAGAAATATTTTGATTCAACATAGCATAAATAATGATAATAGATGAACATTAATGGTTTTTAAAAAATGAGAACTGAAATATGAAATTATTTTTTTTAATGAAATGATACTCAAATTATGAAACTAAAACCTCCAGTAGGTGGCGCAAGTCACCGTCTTAATGATTGAGTGAGTCATTCAGTAATTAATTCAACCGACTCCTTCAAACGGACGATTCATTCGGAAACGAAGCAAGTGACTCTCTTTATAAATTGCTCACTGAATCATTGACTCGACAAAAATGTAAAATCAATTAATTCAGGAACTAAACACTGCTGTTTTTCTAAGAGTTGCACAAAAGTTCTGTTGTGGCTTTGTTTGAACTATTTTCATTTGCGAAACTGAGCAAAGCAGACAATACAATATTGTGTCTAAAACTTCACATGATATTAACTTCTTGTTTATTGAACTATTGTATTAAAATCTATATCACATTTGCAATCGTGCAGATATTCGGGAAAACAGCACTCTTGCTCGTGTGATATTGCTAAACTATATCATACATAGTTTATATAATATATAAACCCATACGCGTTATTTTTTCCATAATTAATAGCACCAATTACAACGTTAAATAGACAGTAAGTAGACATAATTACTTTTATTAGGTACTGCATATGAATAAATGATTTATAAGCTTGTTTACCCATGGGGACCTCAATTTAAGTCCCCATGAGTCGGTGTGTATTCAGGTTTAAGTCCCCACCGGGATAGAAACACACACACACACACACACACACACACACACACACAAACACCCATACACATTAAGAGAGAGAAAAGCCATATCTTTAATAAAGCCATATATTACAAAAAGATTGATAAAACGTCATGCTCGGTTTAAGGCTAGATTTTTCGTTCATGTTTTTAACAGGACACACTGCATCATATTTAATGTTAATGTTAATGTTATTAACCTTTGTGGGTGCGTTCTAAGATGTAAAACATTCGAAGATGTATGTGGTCATTCCAGTATGTTTAATTGTTTTCCCACATTCACTGCATCTAGCCGATCTTCATGATGTTCCTGATTCTGACACACTAATATAACCAAATGTCTAACACTTGCACTCTCTATTCTTTTTCTTTTCTTACTACTTGTTTTCTTTGTAAAAAAAAAAAAAAAAAGAGCCTCTAACACTAGCATTCTCTATTCTTTTTCTATTCTATCTTCTTTTTATTTATTATAAAAATTAATCCTCTAACACTAGCATTTTCTAATCTTTTTCTATTCTTTTGACTTGTTTTATTTTTATTTAAATAAAATAACATGTAAAATATGTGGCACAGATATAGTAAAAGCATATAAGTAACTCCCAAGTTCTTTCTTCATGATATCAGTAGTTAAGGATAAAACACTTGAGTTGTGTTTAAAATATTCCCGAGTGCTTCTTGTTGAGTCGAGTCAAGTCTGAAGTCTTTTCAGGTCGAGTCTGGAGTCGAGTCTGAAGTCTATTAAAATGCAACTCGAGTGCCCATCTCAGTTCTGAGTGCTTCTATCTACAACATCCCCGTCTTTAATTTGCTATTAACATAAGTTCTCCTTCCACTGTTATTTGAAGGAAATCACACCAATTATTTAAATCAGCCTCTAAACGTGCAGAGAGTGTCCTTAATGACTCCAAACGAGATCTTACATGGGAACAAGTAAAAACAGGAAAAAGAAATGCTGAAAACATCATAGAAATGTCAAAAGATGAGGAGTTTCTTAAGGCCACGGCTCTTTAAAAAGCACAAGAAGCCTTTAGATGAACTAAAGAGTTTAAGAAATTTGGTCCTAAAAAATAACAAGCTGCTTTTCCAGACAATAAAATCTTTTGCAAATGTCTTCATGCAGGTCTACCTGTGTTTTAAAACTTAGAAGCATCAAAATCAACTTTTCCTTCCCGTCACCTATAAACAATCTGTCAGAAGAGCTTCAGTCCCCGCAGACAGAGCGCTTGCTCGAAAACCATCCTGTGGGTCAGTTCAACCACACAATTACTCTGATCTGACACGGTTTACATGAGACACTCCAGATGGACCAGAAGTCCTCACACACACAGCTGGAGTCTTCATGTGGCAAGTAACGTGAACATGCATGAACGACATTAAGTACACTTGCATTAATGCATTTGGCAGACGCTTTTATCCAAAGTGATTATCATTGAATTCAAGGTGGCTATAAGGTGCTAGATGATGTCTTAAACTTCATTTGTATGATGGGTAAACAACATATTTACAAAGCTAGACACCTTCAGTTTAAACCCAACTGTGCAGTATTTGCTATTTTTCTCTGTATCCCCCCACTTGTTTTTGTTTTCTAATCTTGTATTTTTGTTCAAATTTAAATTTTGCACAAAAAAAAAAACTTTGCATTCAGGGTATACATTTTTAGAATTCATTATTTCCATGGGAATCGAACCCATGACCCATTTTTGATTTGTTTTCTCTGAATTCCTCCACTTGTTTTTTTAGTTTTCTAATGTTGTATTTTTGTTCAAATGTAAGTTCTGGTGGGAGAAAAAAAAACAAGGCATGCATGTTATTAGCTCATGCATTCAGTGGGAATCATACTCATGACCCATTTACTTTTTTTATCTCTGTATTCCCCCTTGTTTTTTGTTTTCTAATGTTGTATTTTTGTTCAAATTTAAGTTTTGCAAAAAAAAAACAAAAAAAAAAAAACATTGCATTTAAACTAGGGCTGGGCGATATAGCTAAAAAAATTTACCAATGATATAATGTTTCATATCGTTCGGTATCGATAATTATTGACATTTTTTATAACCTTTTTTAAAACAAAAAGCAATAGAATTTTTTGTTTACATTTAACCACTGTATATTTTTATTTATATTTATAATTAACACAATTTATTGAGACAAACAACAAATATTTTTTGTTTTAACAATCAAACACAATAAAAATTAAACAAATATCTCACTTCTAATGTTTTATATGCAGATTAAATAGGTCTTTATTGTATAGGTCTAATTGTCTCCCGAGGCCACAGGAGGGCGCAATGAGCAAAATAATGCAGCGCATTTAAATTGTCAATGCAAGGAGGTAACTCTATAAAAACGTGCATTACGTCTAAATTAACTCATAAAAATCAAATATAATTTTGTAAATTGCATAAACAATTATGAACAAAACAGCATCATATTTTTGCTGTATTTATGCATTGCTTAATACAAAGAGCCGAAGCGCCATTCACACAGACTGCATTTAAAAACATAAGAGACGCAGTGAAAAGGAATAAACCTCCACAAATTCATGACGTGTTTTCTAAAAGTTTAAACTGTTTTAACTTTGCATGGCTTTCTATACATCTCTTCTGTGAGCCGCGAGTGCAGCAGTCATATTTGTCCGTCTAAAAAATGCGCTGAATATGCGTTCTGTGTGAATGGCTTGGTTTCGGTTTCAACCCATTCAAGATCTTCTCCGCATTGAGCTTCTATATTTCTCTAATATTTTGAATGAATAACGCAGCAGCGGCGCGTCTCGTGGGCTAGACTAACAAAACGTTAAAATGCAACAACGTCACTTACATCATCATCACATCATCACGTCAATAATTATCGATACCGAACGATATGAAACATTATATCGTTGATTAATTTTTTTGCTATATCGCCGGTGTACCGTTGATAAATATCGATACCGTTTTATCACCCAGGCCTAATTTAAACTATGTATTTTATTGGGTAATGCTTTCCATGGTAATCAAACTCATGTACATGCATTTTCTCTGTATTCCCCCACATGTATTTTGTTCTCTAATGTTGTATTTTTGTTGAAATTTAAGTTTTGCAAAAACAAACAAACAAGCAAAACAAAAAAAAACATTGCATTCAAAGTATGTGTTTGATTATTTCATGTTTTCCATGGGAATCGAACCCATGACCTTGCTAGCATCATGCTCTACTGTTTAAATAACAGGAATGCACACACAAAATACAAAGCATGCAATTTTCGATTTCATGTTGACTAAAAGTATAATACATCATAACTGTTTAAAGTAGCATGAGCGAGTGTAACGGATGTGATCTTTGTGTTTGAGGGTGAATCAGGGCTTTCAGGAGTTTTGTTGGGTTTTGTGTGTGTGTGCATTTCTCTCAGATTGAGCTGAGCTGGCAGGATTTGTGCCTCCCTTGGTTTGCTGTCACCTACAAGTTCTCCAGCAGCCCATCAATGACACGACACCACACCGCCGCTACGCCACAGCCCAGCAGGGGGCGCTTCATCGTCCTACACACACTCCTGCACCTTTGAGAAGAATTACTGGTTTCTAACGCACACCGCGCTCCCAGCGACAGCTCGACGGCCACGCTAACGCGCGGTAAAACAGATGCCCCAGGGCTTCTGACGCTTAACTGAGATCTAATGTGTAGCGAACACAAGGGTGACACAACAAGTGCTGTACATCTAGTGTAAACTAGTTTGTGAGAAAAAAAACTTCATACAAGTCATAAGATTCTAGTCTGAATCTTAAATCAAACAAAAGCATTTTGTGAGAGAAATTGTACTCAATTTAGCAGTTCAATGTGAAACTCATTGTGAATAATTAGCTTAACGCCAACTTTTATTTTAGTTTGGGGTCGCCAAGATTTATTATGTTTTTGTCTCTTCTGCTCACCAAGACTGCATTTATTTGAACAAAAATACTATCAAAACAGTGAAATATTATTGCAATATAAAATAGCTGTTTTCTATGTGAATATCTGTTAAACTGTAATTTATTTCTGTGATCAAAGCTGTATTTTCAGCACCATTACTCCAGTCTTCAGTGTCACATGATCTTCAGAAATCATTCTAATATGCTGATTTGCTGCTCAAGACACATTTCTGATTATTATCAATGTTGCTTAATATTTTTGTGGAAACCGTGATGCATTTTATTTTTCAGGATTCTTTGATGAAGAGAATGTTCAAAAGAACAGCATCTATGTGAAATAGAACTCTTTTGTAACATTATAAATGCCTTTACTGTCACTTTTGGTCAATTGAATGCATCCTTGCTGAATAAAAGTGTTAGTTTCTTTCATAAAAAGTCTTACCGACCCAAAACCTCTGAATGGTAGTGTGTTTTCTCACATTTGTTTGGATATAAATGTTGGTGGTCATATGCTGAGGAATGTTCCAGGTTAAATAAGCATGTTGACAGATATGTGGATGCGATGGAAATGTAGGCGGACAAACATTCAACTTTCATTACATTTCTTTTTGTTATTTACACAAACATGGAAGGATGAGTCGAACATTTCTCTGTGGTATTCAACAGCATGACACAGACTGACTCGGCCGGAAACTGTTTAAGATCCAGTTGAAACTATATAAAATGTTCAAGGGACAATGATCTACGCAATTCTGATATAGCGAGCAATAAGGACACACTCTCCTGGTGGCCTGGCCTACATTCACAAGAACAGAGAACACTTCAAAGCTCTAGGCTCTCCACAATAACTCCAGATCATCACAGATGGGCTTCTGTGTCCTTGTGAGAGCGTCTTATATAATTCTACACATATATTTAGCACTATAAACAAGTCATGTGGTTGAGGTGTGTTAGTTGTGGAGATACTGTACCTGTTTCCAGTATACGCCGGTGTAGCAGACCTGTAGACAGGAAGGCCTCGTCTTTACAGGAGCGGATCTGTGTTCCCACCAGCTCAGAGTTGGTCGCTAGAATACGCGCGCTCTCCTCGTTGAGGTTCACGCCGGCCATAGACGCCACATCGTTGATGTCATCATCGTCTCTGCAAATACAAGATAATCGTCAGTCTGATCTCACAGCACGTTATCTTATTATAGACTTACACAGAGTAGTACAGATTCCAATCAACATAATAATGCATATCCGTTCAGCACTAAATCAAAGCTATTCTACAATCCGCCAGTGATGTTTACATGCACAGATAAACTACTTTAAATATTAAAACGGCATTATGTTTTGTACGCATTATTATTATAAGTTGTTCATGGTGGTTTTCAGAGCTTATATGAAATTAGAGATGCCACAGGATCAAACGAAACAACCAAACAAAACTGATTAGTAATGTTATTTAAAAAAAAAAAAAACTGAATTCTGAACAGAACAGCAATGTGCATGCAAGAAAATAAAATTTAAATAAATAAATAAATGGGAATATGCATTTTAAAAAATAAATAAGTAAATAAATATAATAAATGTTCATGGACATGTTATTTGTGCATCACATATATTATGAACAGAATGTGAATGAGCAAAAAATCAAAATAAAAATAAGAATGACTAAAATTAATGAATTTATTTATTTATTAATGCATATGGAAATGTTATTTGTCAACTACCCATGTGCATGTGAGAAAAAATAAATAAAATAAAATGAAATAAATGTTCACAGACTTTTTTTGAATGATAGAATGTGAATGAGAGTTCTGTCAGACCTGACTGATGCTGCGTCCCAGAAAGCTGTCTTCACATTTTGAGGACTTTAGCTAACAAAACACGAGAATTAGAAACAGCGCATCTCGTGTAAACATATTAGCCGCATGTCAGTTTCTCTTCCAAAAACATCTGTGGAGTCGTCCTTGACACATGCACTGATTATGAAAGAAATCAGATGTTTAATGAATGTTTAATGTAACAGATTATCGCCTTGTTTAATTAGAAATTTAATTCAGAATAAACTCAATCAGATCATTCGTTTTTCCAACAGAGGTGGCTTTTTATTCCGACTCCGAGCCATCGGTCGCAGCGTAAAACTAAAACTAAAATTGTTTTAAATCATTTTCAGTGAAATAAATGAGAATGTTAAACTTAAAAAAATGCCTTGACAACTAACTGAAATAAAAAGTTTAAGTAGGTCTGCTAAAAGTACTGAAACTAAAACTCAATCAAATGAATTACAGCTAAATAGAAATTTTAAACTAATAAAAAATTACAAAAGCACAATAAATTACTAAAAATTAAACTGAAGCCGTAAATATAAAAATAAAAGCTAATATGAATAAACACTACAACAGTATATGAATATAAAAAGCTAATAATAATAATTATAAATAATGTAATAAAAAATGAAAAAGTCACAAAAGGTTAATAAAACTAACAAAAATTAAAATGAGAACATATAAAAATAAAAGCTAAATCAAAATATTAATAAATACTATAACAATATAGAAATAATAATAAAATAACACTGCAAGTTGAAGTACCAAAAGTACTCAAATTAAAACTGAAACAAAAATAAATGAAAGCTAAATAGAAATATAAAAATTAAACTAATAAAAACTAAAAGTTCATAAAACTTGAACTTGAAAATATAAAATTAATAAACAGTATAATAGGATATAAATAACACTGAAATAACACCGACCCTTAACGTTATTAGGCAGGTATGTCAGTCCATCAGTGTGACTGGCAGCTTTTCCACCCAATCATTGCTCTCCTTTTTTCCTGTTGCCTTGGTAACAGTGTCCTAATTACGGCACATTAGCAGAGGAGCGGCGCGGCAGAGATTCCTGCACCCGAGGCACTGCTGAAAACTTCATGGCTCTGGTCACAGAGGTCAAAGTTCACTCAGCTCCACTCTCATTTACGTCCGCGTCTGTACCTCTGTTTCTGACATTGACCCCCTGGCATCTCGCGCCCGCGTCCAGCCACCCCCGGTGCCCGTGTGTGTGCGTACAGCCCTGTCGCGCCCCCTGCCAGAGCCGCAGCGGCCGCATGCCTCTCCCACACTGGGCAGGGTGTCTATGAGTCCTGACACCACGGTAGGAGCTGACAGAGGCGATTAGCACTGCCCAGAGTTAGCATGTTAGCCTAGCGGCCACCACTCGCCACAGAAATCAATGAGAGCAACTCAACAGTTTGGTGTAGAAGTCATGAGTACTATTAGTGTGTCATATTCATCTTTCTTCTGCCAAAAATGATCTGTCCCATTCAGCTTTCCACTATGAAAAAGTTACCATGATAGCTAAAACAGTGAAGAACATGATTTTTTCAGTGTCTTTGGTTCCTGAAATATTTTGCACCTTTATTTTCTCCGTAAAGAATTTTTAAGAATGATTGAATATTGAGTTTTAAGCCTTTAACCAAACCAACCAGCTCATTAAATTGTTCATTTGAAGCAAAAATAAGTATTTGAAATAGCATATATTATACGTTTTATAATATAATAAGCTTTGAGTAGAAAAAGTATTGAGTGAGTCATTGAGCAAACGATCTGCTCATTTCATGAAGCACTGGAAAAGACAATCAAAATCAACACAAACCTACCTAATTATTGATCATAAAAGCAATATATTTTAACTTTATTGCAAAATATTCAAATAGATACAAATGAGTGTTGTTATTGTTGATTAAAACTAAAATGATTAATAAATGGTTGGTAAATGAAATTACATTTAAAAAACTGAAATTAAATAAAATATAAATATATGATGAAAAATGTCAATTTAAATATAATAACTTATAAATTAGAATAGTTGCCATAGCAACTAATTGAAATAAGTGTTTGAGTGACAAGTAAAATAAGTAAAATGACTAAAACTAAAAAAAAAATAATAATAAATTAAAGCTAAATATTTTGATATTTGATGTTTTGAATTAGATTTTTTCTTTTTTTCTATTTTCAGTTTGCATTTTAATTTTAGTTAAAAAGTTCCTTTAATTTTTATTAGTTTTATTTATTAGTTGTATTTTGTTTACATTTTATTCATTTTTATATTTAAATAATTTTAATATCATATTTAAATACATTGTTTTTAAAAAAAATAATTTCATTACATTTCACTAAAAACAATATTAATAAAATATTATAATATTAAAAATATTAAAATATTAAAAAACTAATAAAAATGACAAAAACACATAACAAAATATACTAAAACCAAAATTAAATATAGAAAAAGAAAACTAATATAATAATAAATACTATAATAGTATATAAATAATACTAAAATAACACTGATATACAGAGCACAGGATGAGTATTTAACAATTAGTGTTAGGGCTGTTCAGTATGAGCTATAGCAATAGTGAAAGTCACTAATAAAAACAAGTCTTTATGCCAAATGGGAAATCTTTGCCGCATTAACTAAACTAAACTAAAAGACGGCTTCCAGTTGAATCAGTTGTTACCCGATGGGTGGAGAGCCAATCAAAAACATCATGGTCACGAAACACGCCATCAGTACCGAGCAAACCTTATTTAGCCACACTGCTAAAGATTTATTGGTTTATCAATCAGCGCCTGCGGCTGAAGCCCTGGGCAGAGAGAGAGTGAACTCTGTGACCTGTGACACACTCACAAACACAAACACAAAGCACAATCGCTCTCTTACAAACCCTCACTGATCACACTCTACACAGGCAGTTAACCTGAACCTGAAATCAAACGCCCTACATAGGCAGCAACTCACTGTGCCACACAAATAGTGCTGCTCACGTGAAGCACATGATTCACAAGTGATTCCAATCGAGTTTAACCAGCATGCAAATTTGGCCAAAACAAGCTGTTCTGGAAGGCTGCATCATGTTGCATCAGGATAGCAACTTTAAATTCAGTTTGGAACAGAGCTAAAGTCTGTCTATGATATTGCAACAGTCAAACACAAAAACACATTCTCTTATTTGCACAATATCTGTGCCTCGGAAACACAGAAACTGTCATGCAGTTTACCACGATAATCATACTTTCGGCAAAATACTATAGATCTTACCGTAAAGCCATAATGTAATAAATATTAAGCTACCAAAGTTATACCGTATAAACTACTGTAACTGTACTTACTATATTTTAAGGTATTTTAGCTTGTTTTGAAATTACCAAGCACATTAAAGGGGTCATATGATGCTTTTTTAAAGATCATTATTTTGTGTATTTGGTGTAACAGAATATGTTGACATTCACGAACAGCTTGTAACACTCCAAAGAGAAAGGAAAACTTGAAATCGCATCATATGACCCCTTTAAATAAAAGATAAAATCAATGTCCTATTTCACGTTAAGCTCTCTCATGTGAATCGTCTGATGTTCACTTAAAAATGTTCATTTAAAGCAAAAAATATTTGAAAATCATTGTGTGAATTATCTATTCATCCCATGCTACTTAAACTACTTCATAATTGGTCATATTTACAAAAGCATTATATTTTATATTCAAAATACATAAAAGACAGCATTGTTATTGTTGACTAAACAAATGGCTGCAATATAACAAAGAGTGAAAAATTTAAGGGGGTCTGAATACTTTCCATACCCACTGTATATATTTTTGGTAACATAGGTTCCAAAGGTTCCATTAGTTAATGTTAGTTAATGCATTAACTAACATGAACAAACAATGAACAATACAGTATTTATTCATCTTTGTTCGTGTTAGTTAATGAAAATACAGTCATTCATTGTTAGATCATGTTAATTCAGTGCATTAACTAATGTTAACAAGCACAACTTTTGATTTTAATAATGCATTAGTAAATGTTGAAATTAACATTAGTTAGTTTAATAAATGCTGTAGAAGTATTGTTCATGCTTAGTTCATGTGAACTAAAGTAGTTAACTAATGAACCTTATTATAAAGTGTTACCTATAATTTTTATGGTAAATACAAAGCGGGACAAAAAGATTAAAAAAAAAAAGTATAAAAAAAACGAACTGAAAAAAGTTTAAATAGAAGCACTAAAATGAACTGGAAATAAATAAAAACTAAAACTCAAATAAAAATCAAAAGAACAAAAACAAACAAAGAAAATTACAAAAAAAAAAGAAGAAAAAAAAAAGGTATATAAAAACATGTTATATATATATATATATATATATATATATATATAAATCATATACAAATATGCATAAATGTTCATTATAATTATATACAAATATTATAAATATTCTAATTACTATAATGCTATGTTCATTTCAAGGTATTTTAGCTTGTTTTGAAATTACCACACACATTAAATGAAAGGAGAAAGCAACGTCCGGTAAACCAGACACTAAAGCTTAAGCTCTCTCATGTGTTCGGTCTCACTGACATTCAGAGCGACAGTTTCGAGCAAACAAGAGAGAAAAGGAAGCATAAGAAGGATGAGAGGCAGCGTCGGCCCTCGCTGAGAGAGTGGCCCCCAGTCATCAGCAGCTGGCTGGTGAAACGCTGCCCCCGTGTGCCAGCGACCGGTACTACACCTGAAGGAGCCTCCCCCCGGGTCATTCAGCTTGTTTTTCTGGTTTCCTGAGAGCTGTATGGTGACGCCCGCAGGGCTTTTGCTCATCTGGATCGCCGCAGGCTTCCCTAGAGTACCTGGGAAAAGACAAGACAGCATTATCATGAACTTACACACCTATTTATATCAAACTTGACTCTGTCTGGAGCTCAACCAGTTCAGCCCAGTCACATTTCACACCAAGACATTATATTCTGCAATAATGCCTGTTTTAGAAACATTAAGATTTTCTGCATTGCGACATTATTCTTTTTTTCGACAATTAAATCCATTTGACCACAAAAGTCTCATTACTGTAATGTCTCTGGATAGTTTTTGTAACTCACATTTTTCTAATTAAAGATTCTCATTGCTGCAATATAGTGATTTGTAATGTATTGTATTAAATTAGCAAAAATCAAAGCCATTTAAACAAATAATGTATTGTATTAAATTAGCAAAAATCAAAGCCATTTAAACAAATAATGTATTGTATTAAATTAGCAAAAATCAAAGCCATTTAAACAAATAATGTATTGTATTAAATTAGCAAAAATCAAAGCCATTTAAACAAATAAATCTATAAATAAAAATAATATAATTACAAATCTCTAAATAAATCTATACATTATAGATTATAAATCTATAAATGATTTAATACAAAATTATGAAAATGTATAATATATATATTTTTTTTTGCATTACAATAATGAAAATTAGATTTTCTGCAACACTTCAATAATAATTTAGTGTTAAATGTGCTTAATTGTCATAAAATATAATGTCACGATGGACACAGCCTTCATTTTCTTTCAAATAAATAATAATAACAATAAATATTAATTAATAATGAATAAAAAATACATGGCCACACTTTACTTGAACCCTTTATGTATAATGCAGTAAAATAGGTATTCATTTCATAATTGTAACCAAGGTTAAAATGCATTATAATATTTGCAGATTCCTTGTTAAATCTGAAATTGGTTGCTTGTCATTTGTTTTAATGCATTATACACTAAAGGTGCAACAATTAATCGATACGTATTATAACTGTAGTTACAGTTATTATAAGGTGCATTGCAAGGCATAATTAATGCATTATATAAAAAGCTTCAAGTAAAATGTAACCAAAGAGATTAGTAATAAATAATAATTTCTCATTTTTTCAAATATGACTTTGGTGAAATATGACCCTAGCATTTTCTTGACAGGTTTTCATAAGATGCACCTGAAAAGAGACAGAACAGCAGGACGAGCTGCCATTTTTACTGATTCTCCGCTTTTGTCTTTATGCATCTCGCCGTTTTTTTTAAATATTTTTCTCCCAGTCTGTCTCTCAGAGTTCCTCTATACACTCTTCAATGTGTCCACACACACACACACACACACACACACACACACATAGTGACAGCCAGGGTGCATCTGAACGTGATTTACTAAAGGTGCAACAATTAATCGATACGTATTATAACTGTAGTTACAGTTATTATAAGGTGCATTGCAAGGCATAATTAATGCATTATATAAAAAGCTTCAAGTAAAATGTAACCAAAGAGATTAGTAATAAATAATAATTTCTCATTTTTTCAAATATGACTTTGGTGAAATATGACCCTAGCATTTTCTTGACAGGTTTTCATAAGATGCACCTGAAAAGAGACAGAACAGCAGGACGAGCTGCCATTTTTACTGATTCTCCGCTTTTGTCTTTATGCATCTCGCCGTTTTTTTTAAATATTTTTCTCCCAGTCTGTCTCTCAGAGTTCCTCTATACACTCTTCAATGTGTCCACACACACACACACACACACACACACACATAGTGACAGCCAGGGTGCATCTGAACGTGATTTTAAGAGGCATGTTCTTAGCCCACAGCTACAGGAGATGGTATTTTTAGACTCTTTCCCCCTGAAAATCCACTTTAAGGGCTAAAATATAAAAGATCAGACTAAGATGGACAGGAAAAGAAAGACTCATATCAAATCTGTGTGTGCACACCTGTATGTGTGTTTTAGATGGCAGGAGCTTCATGCAAAGCAAATGAATGAATGAATGAATGAATAATTGAATGATTGTTAGATTTGAAGGTCGTCTGTGTTGTGTTTTGTTGTGTGTCTCAGGTGTTTGCTCACCTGTTGCTCGCACCGTCTGCGTGATGACCACAGGCATCCGTATCTGACCTCCAGGACCCACTGCCCTCTTGATACCCTACAAACATACAAGATTTACAATTTACACTGATATCTGAACAGCCTTACAGTCTACAGTGAGTTTTGTGTCTCGAATCAGAATCAGCAGCCCTATAAAGTCAACTGTATCATATTTAATGTGCACATTTCTAAGGCCTCTAAATGATCAACATGATCAAACTTTGCTGTTAAACCTGTCGCACTTAATCTACTCCACACCTTCTGTCGTCTGATTGATAGTTTAGAGTTTTTTATCCAGTTAAAGCTCTTTTAGTGTAATTGTACAAATGTCCAGCTTCAGCTGGAGCTTCACGTGTCTTTCTGCTGTCAAATCTTGACTGATTTTTCTCAAGTAAACGTCAGAATAACTGCAGTAATTTCTCCAGATGAACACTTACTGGACTGAAGCAGCTCAGCTTTACTTGATTCTCCATCAATCATGTTTTAGAGTCTCAAATCTGATCATCAGGATCTTTTGAGGAGCGTTTGTTCCAGAAGCTTTACTTTCACTGTTCCTCAGCGGAGGAATGATCTTCCCAAGCCTCCAGAACATCTCACGTTTATTTCTTCATCTCTCAATCAGCACTGGATTGCATTGCATTATATGTTTGGATCATTTAATAAATCTCATCTTATTAAGACATAATATTGGAGATATAGAGCGACAACTGATATTTATAGCATTTTATGTCAGTATCTGCTCTACTGTTATAAAGATCTCATTGATTTACATTACAAGCATCAGAATTTCATCATATTAAATATCAGCATCTGCAGCAAATTGCATATTTTTGCTCAGTTTGAGTCTCTGAATAAAATTAAGCTGTTTTTTCTTCCATATTCTCACTATATGAGATATGTGCCATAAAAGCCTGATGCATCAATTATGACACTCAACAAAAAACACATGCAATTAAAAAAAATATTTTGATTCTGATTGGTTGAGCCACGTTCGAAGCTGTTATAAATTACTCTACAAACATACACCTTTGTTTAACGTCTGTGTGTTGCTCGGCAACCACTTTGTTGCAACCACAACCGTTTCTGAGGAACTACATTGTTTGGCGGAAGAATAATGTTTTTATTAATATCGTTACATTTTATTTGCTTTGTTTTATTTTGTGAAACCTTGCTACATATATGGAATAACCAGTTTATAAAAGCAATAAGCCCCGTGAAGCCGTGGTTTACAGTGAATTTATAACAGCTAAGGGGGTTTTTTAACAAACCACGGCTTCTTGGGGCTTCGTGCTTTAATCTAGTTGTGGTCTGAAATGCAAAGGCTGAATTTTTCCAAGCACTATAGAGAGAGAGGAAGAAAACAAGGTAGTGACAAAGTGAGGAGAGGGGCAGAAAACAGGAAGCACACTAACAGAGACGCTTCCGTCCCCCGTGAGTCCCTCAGAGCCGCCCTGAGCAAATCCCATCCATTCATTCCACTTGCCCTCCGCCTGCATATTTCTCTGACTTGTTTTCTTGTGCCAGAGCCTACATTACAGCTCAGAGCCTACAAACCTCGGGGAGATACGCAAAACCTCTGAACGGCAGCAGGACACAAACCCAGATACTACAGGACGAGACAAACTCAGAGTCAATATTCAGTCCTATGAACACATGGCACACTTTGGGCTGGACGATATAACTTAAAAAATACATTTTGTTTTTCAGCCTTTTGAAGATATTCAATATAAGCTAATGGTCAAAGGTTTTGTTTTTTTTTTAAAGAAAATTCAAGAAATTAGTTTTCAGCAGCATGCATTAAATTGATCAAAAGTGCCAGTAAAGACATTTATAATGTTACGAAAGACTTCTATTTCAAATAAATGCTGTTCTTTTGAACTTTCTATTCATCTGTGAATCCTGAAAAATAAAATGTATCACAGTTTCCACAAAATTATTGTGCAGCACAACTGTTTTCAACATTGATAATAATCAGAAATGAAGCAAATCAGCATATTAGAATGATTTCTGAAGATCATGTGACACTGAAGACTGGAGTAATGATGCTGAAAATTCAGCTTTGATCACAGGAATAAATTACATTTCAACAGATATTCACATAGAAAACAGCTGTTTTAAATGGTAATACTATTTCACTGTTTCTACTGTATATATTTCATAAAATAATTGGTGAGCAGAAGAAAAAAAAACATTAAAAAAAATTTCAAAAACATTTAATATATCAATTAAACAGACAAGAACATTGGACATGTTTAATGTGAAAATAAAAAAAATGAATTAACAAAAAATAAAATATTTATTAATTTTCATTTATATGCACCAATATACAATGCATAGTAATAAAATGTAATATTTATCAATCATCTTTTTTAACTCTTTGCATGTAAAATGAATAACAATGGCTCAAGCAAGCTTCTAATTAAAGAATAAGTATGATATGCAAATATGGCTGGGCATATGTTAATGAGGTCATGGCTGTGATTATGATTTCGGGATGTGACTATTTCGTTTTAATAAAAGTTC